ATGATCCATCAGTCATCTTGTGCTAGTACCCCCCAACAGAATGGGGTTGTTGAGCGCAAGAATAGACACTTATTGGAGACTGCACGAGCTTTACTATTTCAGCACAAAGTTCCAAAAGCCTATTGGTCTCAAGCAATCCTTATTGCATCATATTTGATAAACTGAATGCCATCTAAGGTCTTGGGGATGAAGACTCCATTTTCTGTTCTTTGCCCTCACCTTCCTGTTTTTTCTCTTTCACCGAGGGTCTTTTGGTGTGTATGTTTCATACATGTCAAGGATCCGAAGAAGACCAAATTGGATCCTCGAGCTACGAAGGGAATTTTCTTGGGGTACTCTCCTACTCAGAAGGGATACAAGTGTTACGATCCAGTCACCAAGAAAAAATGTCACAAAAGATGTGGTGTTCTTTGAGTCTCAATCCTACTTTCAATCTTCCCCGGATCCTCTTCAGGGGGAGACTAGTGGGATGGAAGAGGACCCTCCTGCTGATCCTTCTATTCCCTCCTTCTTTGTGCCCTTCTCTGCCTCGGATCTTCCATCCTCTCCTCTTGATCCTCCTAGTTGTAGTATCCCAGGTGAATCTAGTGAGGCTCCCATTGGCCCAGCTACTACTAGTGATGTTGCAAATGTTACTAAAGACTCCAACAGGCAGCAGAAAGATATCAGAATCACCTACAATAGAAGGAAGAAGAGTCCTCCAACTCATGACAACAACTAATTGGACTCGGATCAACCTGTCTCAGTAACTCAAGGTAATCCTATCAATTCCTCTGACTTAGATCTTCCGATTGCCCTTCGTAAGTCTACCCGTTCTTGTACTATTAGACACCCCATTGCTGATTTTGTGTCTTACTCACATTTGTCCCCTCATTATTGTTCTTTGTGTCTGCTCTCTCTTTTGTGCATGTTCCTACTAGGTACTCAGAGGCAGTGTCTGACCCAAAGTGGAAAGAGGCTATGAATGAAGAAATGAAGGCCTTAATGAAAGWAGGGACTTGGGAATTAGTAGATCTACCAGAAGGGAAAGGCACTGTTGGATGCAAGTGGGTGTTCACTGTGAAGCATAGGGAGGATGGGTCCATTGAAAGATACAAGGCTAGACTCGTAGCAAAGGGATTTACTCAAAAGGAAGGAATTGACTACAAAGAAACATTTGCTCCGGTAGCAAAACTCAACACTATCAGAGTTCTACTATCATTAGTTGCAAATTTCTCGTGGGAGCTTCACCAGCTGGATGTGAAGAATGCCTTTTTAAATGGTGATCTACATGAGGAGGTATTCATGGATCCTCCACCAGGTTATGGATTTGGCAGGAAAGTATGTAGACTGAGAAAAGCACTATATGGCCTTAAACAGTCCCCTCGAGCTTGGTTTGAGAAGCTATGTGGAGCCGTGAAGAAAGGTGGTTATACTCAAAGCGGGGCAGATCATATCCTATTCGTAAGGAAGAGAAATGGGAAACTTACAGCTCTTATCGTTTATGTAGATGATATGGTAATTACTGGGGATGATAAGGAAGAGATTAAAAGGCTGAAGGAGGTCCTAGTTGCTGAATTTGAAATCAAAGACCTGGGTCAATTGAGATACTTTCTAGGGATTGAAGTTGCTAGATCCAAAGAGGGCATCTATATATGTCAACGGA